ACCGGGAGGTCCAGGGTTCAATCCCCGGGCCGGGTAGAGTCGGGTTAGAGTGTAATGATAAACCCTACAGCACGTGCTTGACATGGCTTACACGACTCCTAAAAACGGGTGTCGTTTCTCATCATATCTTATGCGGGCTCTGCCCACGAGCTAATGCAGCAAGACATTTTTGCTGTGTGTTTAGTAAGGCGGCAGAAGCACAAGCGCTTTCATATCTAATGAAGTGAAGATTTGTCCCCATTTTGGAAAGTTCATGGGAGTTTAGAATTCCAGTTTTGTCAAGATTGGTCTAACGCCGCTACAACGTCCTGACGCACCGTCGGTCTTCATTTTTCTTGTGGAAAGGCAGGGCGAGTATCGCTGAACACTTTCGACTTACAAATACGAACATTTGGTCAGTAACTGAAGTAGTATGCTTACTGGAGGCAAGCGAGGTTGTTAATTGTAGGAGCTAGAGGTGGTGCTGACATTCGCGTCGTACTTTGTGCACCACAACGTCATGCGGTAATCGGCGCTTTAGACGAATTCCAGCATTATCAAAGCTAGTTGAAAATCCTTGAGATGGGTGAGACAGTACTTTTTCCTTATCCTGTCCGCGAATTGAGTACAGCATGTATAATAGTCTTACCAGCTCTCAGTGCCCAATATACTTTTCTTGTGGGGGTTTGGGTTTTCTCATCTGCCTTTGCTTTGGTCACAGGCGGTATTTTTATGAAGCGATAACCTTTTGGGTTAGGAAATGCTGGCGTATTGACTTGATGGCGTTTAATTTTGTTGGTGTTAGCGGAATGTCTGCTCGCATAGACGTTAGCAGACTTCGTCCAAGCGTGACGAGCAACTCGTGATGGCTTGTAGAAGTAGCCAAGACGTGATATATTTGACAAGAGACGGTAAGACTTTTCGATTGCAATTGATCTAGCTATGACCTTTGGGCCCGGTCATGTGCGCTAGTGACGAGCGGGGCATCATCGTGATTTCCACGAGGGGAAGCGCAAGTCTCCAAGCTATAGGAATGAGCACAGAGTCCGTAAACCATGCAGAAAGAAGTGGAGTGTCTTCCTCGGTAAACTGCTTGGCCTCCTGTCCATACATTAGGGCAAAACTCTTGGCTCTGAAATCAAAGAATCACTGCAACAGTTCTCACCCAAAAAATATTTGGCATCTTCGCCGAGTTTAGTTTTTGAGGCATAATTTGCAGCGCTCGCGACTTTACGGACGCTCGCTGAGCAAAGTGATAATTTTCAAGTGAGAAGACGTCTGCTGTGGTAAGGACCAGGTATCGTAAAGCGCGCGGCTTAACGCAAGTGCGTTGTTGCTTGTTAAACAATCACTTTTGTGCAATGTTTTTGTGATACTAGAAGGGGCGTAAAACCTAATGTGTTCATCAACTTGGTGATAGAGGATGTAACTGGGCGTGTACCTTACTATTGTGTTTAATGCACTTCATTCTGTTATGCAGAGTACGATATCGACAACTTAGCGAAACTTACACTACGGTTTGCGTATTAGTGATTAAACAGAAAACCGAAGTTATTGTTTCTATGAAGATGATAAAATTCTGTATAGAAGAATCCGCTCAAGGTCAAGCAATATTGATAGCTTCTTACTGGTTAGAAAATCATACATATTTTGTATGAGTTGCTTTATACAGCGCATCCTGTCATATGACAAAAAGAGAATACACTAAAACGTCAGAGCTTGAAGAGCTAAACCGTAAACTCTAGTGATGATATGTGCGTAGCGCTGCTACGGGCACTCGATAGCAAGAAATTGGAAACCGGGACAAGAAGTTGTCGTCGCGACTGCGCGCAAGGTAACACCGATATTCATTGAATAATGGATTGCAGTGTTATAGCACCGACTCGACGGATACGCCACGAACTGTGGTTCTCACGAGGAGGACAACCCACTCAGTGGTCATCTTGGTCGTGAGAAGACCTACAGCTCTGTGTGTTGCCACAACTGGTGGCCCAAGCTGCACAATTGGACGAGCACCTATGTGCGCACGTGTGAAACGTGTCAAAGGGTGACACCCTCTACAGATGCGGCGGTGCCGCTTGCCAAGTTGCCGGTACCCTCCGGGTGCTGGCAGTCCATGAGTTTGGACTTTGTGGTTGACCTGCCGAAGGGCTCGGCGGGCAACACAGGTGTCGTGGTCTTCGTCAACTGTTTGAGCAAGATGGCGGCGGTACCGGACACCATCGACGGTGTCGGTACAGCGACGCTGTTTGTGGATCGTTTCTTTCGACAACATGGAGTCCCGGAGGTAGTTGTCTCTGACGGAGACCCACGCTTCACTGGGAAGCTTGGATGATGATCTTAAAGGTGCTGGGCACCAAGCTGGGTATGTCAACAGCGACCATCCGCAGACCATTGGCCAGACTGAGCGCGTGAATCAAATCGTCGAGGACGTGCATCGTAGCCTCTGCGCTGAGACTTCGAGGAGCTGGAGCGCCGTGCTGCCACTCGCAAATTTTGCTCTGAACAATGGAGTGCATTCGTCTACCGGCTACTCATCGTTCTACGTGGATAGGCTCGTTCATCTTTGCGTCCCACTGACGCCGCTATTCCATGTTTCAGGGCTTGATGGGGGAGAAATAGTCGAGAGGCTAGCTGATGTCAGCCCTCTCACTGTTTTTAAAGAAAATCCGAGTGTCTTACGACACGTTTGCGATGCTATGGCTAAAAGTCAAGACATGCAGAAAGAAATTGCAGACGGAAGAAGCAGATTTTTTTGAGATCTTTAAAGTCGGAGACCTGTTTTAAATAAATTTTAGAACCCTTTCTACACATGCAATCTCTGTTGTCTTTCAGACGAAGCTCCGTCCACGATTTATCGCACCTTTTAAGGTCGCGGACAAAGGGGGCCTTGCGTATACGCTAAACCTTCCTAGACGGATTCGCAACAACCCGGTGTTTTATATGGGCTTGCTTTAGCCGTAGCGCGAGTGGATGCGGAAGTATTGGCGCCGGAGCGGCACCCACAGGCGCTCGATCACAAAAAACTGGAGCAGCAACTAGTTTGGAGCACAAAGTGCAACAATCGCCATCTCAATCCATCGCCCGTTGCGGGCACGGTGCGCGGTTGGGAGTAGACATCGCGTCTGTGTTCGTGGTCGTGCGACCCTGTAGCTGACAATGCGCTGTACCGTACTCGGAACCAAGAGCCTAGGATGCACATCCCTCGATGCCGCAGACGCACTGTCCGACATCGCATCGCGTGCGGGATACGAAGTTGGGCTCTGCCCGTGTGCGCTGTCAGAACTAGCAAAACTTGGTGACTTCAGTGTCGTTGACACAGGGCCCATTGAGCACGTAAGTCGTTTTGTTCCAACGAACCAAGTTGCATTGTCTAGCGAACACGCAAGCCTCGTTAAGGCAATAATCGATTGGAACTGTAAATGTTCCCAATCTTAATGGGGGAGAGTGTAACGGGGTTACACGTACCCTGGTAACAGGATCGTGTGTCACACGAGATGGGCATGATGTGAGTGCACCCAAATAAGAATAAGGTACGTGGCTAGGTAGTCAGTAGTTATGTATGTATTCAGATTTTACTATAAATATTTAGGAAAATCTATACATTTAAAATTAGGCGGCTTTGCCGCAGATATAAAATAAATAAAGTCAGTTTTGGATTTAAACGGAGGAGTCAATTAGCCTTGGGTTAAGGCAATAATTACTCTTGGAGGAAGCGGATCGCGATCCGCTTAACTCGTACTTGTTCTAAGCATAGAACGAAAGGTCGGTGACCTAACTTACGCTTTCTAAAAGCGCAAAGCTACGGCAGCCCCGCTGCAATTTACTTCAGTTTGTTGGCGGTCTGGCTACCATGTTCTCGAACACTGAAACCGTGGATGGGGATTTCTCGCTAACTGGAAACGAGAAAGACGAGCATCACAAATCGCTGACCGACTTCTCTTCGAAAGGGGGTCATGCACACTGAGCAGTTGACACTTTGCGCATCTCACTGGGCAAGCAATAATACCTTCAGTTGCAAGACCACTAGGTTGGCCCCACTATTAGCTTTATGCGGAAACATTTGGAAGCTCGCTGTAAAAGTGGCCTGCTTATAACAGTTTCTTTGTATCTCTAATAGGTGTATTCTTGGCCGTTCATATCCAAATGATGTCGAAGAAATTGCCATGACAGCAATGCGTTTTCGTCGTAAAGATAGCAAAATTGCGTCGACACGAGAATGTCGATATCTACGGATGTTGTCAGACCTTTTTGGCTAAGATCTATTGCTGAAAATTACCATGCAACTTAGATGCTTCAATATTCAATCAGTCTCTACCCTCAGCACCAATATTTGGCGAAGTTTGAAGCCTTGCCTTTGCGCACAGCGTGTGCCAGTATGTGCCTTGAGTAGGTTGCCACAGTCATAGTAAAGAAACTGGTCTTGACCCAGTCCAATGAGTTTCATTTGAACTGAGCAGCTTATGTGCTCAAGAACATTTGTCCTCGCGATCTGGGAGCATAATATAGCGAAAGTAAGTTTTTCACTTCTCGTACACTAAAACGGGTGTGCTTTTCGTTCAATAGGTAATATGTTTATCACCCTGGACACTGGTAAATTGTCCTGGGGACCATACGTGAGTGATGGATGACCTTATATTTGAAAGGGTGAGCGCCAAATTTAGGAGCTGCCCATAAATTTTATGTCATGAAAGTAAATATTACATCAATTGCATGGTTTATCATTATGATTCGGTATTGGTAGTAAGGCAAGCTAGATGCGCATTATATCGGGCCCTATCTACACATCACCGAAGCGTTTCTGACAGGACTAGTGGAATACACGGCAGCGCAAGACTTCTTTGCAGGTGTAGAGCTTAGCGGTGGATCTGCATTGTTTCCATGAATAAGCAGCATACTTCATCTTAATTTTTATCACATCTCACAAACTAAGTCCTAAAAAATTGATGCGATTCAAATTAAAGACATTTTTGTTTTCTTCATTGACGTATCATATCCATATGAGGAAAGAGTCCATGACCCATTTGCATACCTTTGGTGAGCGTTCCATCACGCGTGTCGATCTTAAGAACGCAACGCGCATTGTGGTCAAAATGGGAACTAGTGTAGTATCCACGAATGGCGAGCCTGCATTAGGTCGCATTGCGTCTATCGTTGAGCAAGTTTGTATGCTGAAGCGCCAGGGCAAAGAAGTGTTGGTGGTTACAAGTGGCGCTGTTGGCATTGGCCGTAAGCGTCTTAATAAGCAAATTCTTCTTTCCGCTTCGTTGCGCACGCATGTACAGGGGAATCAGCAAATGCTGGCGCTCGAAAAAAAGCAGGGTGCCATGGCTGCAGCTGGTCAAATTGGTCTGATGTCGTTATATGAGACGCTCTTTTCATTATACGATGTAGCTTGCTCACAGGTGCTCGTCACGGCTTCCGACTTTAAGACAGCTCAGAATCGCGCCAACATGCGCGACACAATGTTAAATCTCCTCGAGCTTGACGTCGTTCCCATCGTCAATGAAAATGATGCGGTCAGTGCTTCACCTGACGGAACTGTGTTTACCGACAATGACTCACTTGCTGCTTTGGTGGGCGGGGAAATCGGAGCCGACTTGCTCATGCTACTTACCGATGTGGAAGGTCTATACAATAAGCCACCCACACACCCTGGTGCCAAAGTCATTTCAGTTTTTATTCCTGAAAACAACAACTTTAGAATTGGAGAAAAGTCTAGTGTCGGGCGTGGTGGCATGGGCGCAAAAATTAAAGCTGCGCAATCGGCTATTTCACAAGGAGTTAAGGCCGTGGTCATTGCTAGTGGCTTTCGATACGGCGTTGTTGCCTCCATAGTAAAGGGTGCTAATCTCGGCACGCTTTTCGTCGCCAATCCAGGCGCTGAATCACCAGACTCAATGTCTGCTGAGGAAATGGCTTTTTCTGCTCGTAAAGGCAGCCATCAATTACAAATGTTGTCATCAGAGGAGCGTGTCCATATTCTATTTCGCGTCGCTGATGACTTAAAAAGAAATTTTAGCACAATTCTTGCCGCTAACCGCCAGGATCTTCTGGCAGCGCAGAAATCATCCATTGACGAGGGTTTGATCGCTCGATTGAAGTTGACGGAGGAGAAACTGGATACGCTTATCGACGGTATTCGTAGTATTGCCGAGTCGGAAGAGCCAATAGGTCGCATTCTCAAACGCACAGAGCTCGCGTCAGGCCTTATTTTACACCAAGAAACAGCTCCGATTGGTGTACTGCTTGTCATCTTCGAAAGTCGTCCGGACTCCCTTCCGCAAATCGCTGCGCTGGCCTTGCGTAGTGGTAATGGTCTGCTATTGAAGGGTGGCAAGGAAGCGCGTCACAGTAATGCTGAATTACACAGGATTATCGTTAATGCGGTGGAAGAAGCTTCGCAGGGCAAGGTGAAGAAAGATGTTATTGGGTTGGTCACATCACGCGACGAGATCTCGGACTTGCTCTGCATGGACAATGTTATCGACCTTTGTATTCCTAGAGGTTCAGGCTCCATGGTAAGTCACATCAAAAAGAACACACGCATCCCTGTCCTCGGCCACGCAGAAGGTGTTTGCCACATGTACATCCACAGTGCAGCCGATATTAACAAGTCAATTGAGCTCGCCATTGATGCCAAAACCGACTATCCGGCCGCCTGTAATGCTCTTGAGTCACTGCTGCTCGATGAAGCTGTAGTGAGTAGTGGACAAGACAAGAAGATCCTAGCGAAACTAGAAAAGGCAGATATCAATCTCCATATTGGACCTAATGCAGCCAGCTTAGGTGTTGCTACTGCTAAGTCGCGTCCTACGGACTCACTGTCTACCGAGTATGGCTCGAAAGACCTCACCATCGAGGTAGTACACGGTCTGAGTGCTGCAATTTCTCACATCAACCAGTACAGCAGTGGGCATACCGAATGCATCGTAACGGAGGATGCTGCAGCCGCTGAAACTTTTCAACGAAGAGTAGATAGTGCATGCGTGTTCCACAATGCCAGTACTCGATTTGCGGATGGCTACCGGTTTGGTTTGGGTGCCGAAGTCGGCATCAGCACGGGCCGAATTCATGCTCGTGGGCCGGTAGGGGTCGAAGGTCTGCTTACGACCAAGTGGATACTTGCATCAGAGAGTGGTCACATCGTCTCGCAATTTTCAGGGACAAAATGCAAAAGCTCGTTAAAGTATACCCATCGGAAATTAGACTTGATCCAAAAAGACGCAAGTGTTGCCCGCCCGCACAGTAGCCGGCTATAAGTTTGAAGATCAGATGCTTCTTCAGATTCATTGTAGCAGCGTCAACAACATTGATTCAAAAAGTAAATAAGTACCAAGCAAAACGTTATAGTAACACTCGCGATCAGCTTTTCAGAATCAAAAGTCCATGTCATCGTTGTCGATGTCTTCCTTCTGACGTTTCATGCGCTTGCGACGCTCGCTGTCGTTAATAGCCGTCAAATCGCGTGAGGCCTTGGCTCGCAAGGTGTCAATATCGTCAGCATCCTCGGCCCACTCGAGTACAAGATGCCGTCCATACAAATGCGAGCTAGCAAGAGCCGAAAATGCATTTTGGGCTTCCTGATCTGTCAGGAACTCTACGAAAGCAAAACCACGGTGTTTGCCATCAAATTTCTTTGGCATGCGCACGCGCTTAAGTTGACCGAATGCACCGAATAGCTCACGAATCTCGTTACTTGTGGCCTCAAATGCGACGTTGCGAACAATTATTTTGGATTGTCGACCATTGATATCACCTTTAGTTGCGCGCATAAGAGTATTTGAAGCCTTTTTTTGAGACAGTTTCAAGTTCAGCGCATGACCATCCACGACAGTTTGCTGCAGTGTTTGAAGCGCACGTTCGGCGTGTTTTGCATCAACGTATTCCACAAACCCAAAGCCCATTGATAGCATACCACGCTTTGGATCTTTCCGACGAGCCACAGTCACTTTGCGCAACTTTCCACAAGACTTAAAGACCTTTTCGAGAGCTGCTTCATTTGTGGAAAAGCTTAAATTTTTCACGCAAATTGTATGTCTTACGTCGCTCACAATATCATCTCCCTCGTCGAAGTCAGGTACAACAGCTGACGTCGTTTTGATACCTTTTTGCTCGGATGTCACGGGATCTCCGGTCGAATGTATCGCTACAGGGTGCCCAAATACTTTCAATGGAGCCCACTCAAGGTATAGCGGAGCATGCTGGTACTTCTTATATGCTATTGAGCGAAAGGCTTTGCGTGCTTCCGATGGTTCATGAAACTCAACTAAAGCAAGAGTCTTGGAAGGCGGCAATAGAAAACGGCTGATCTCACCATATTTACGGAACAGTTGAGCTAGCTCATCTTCGTCTGTGGTATGTGGTAGATTCTTGATTAATATAACCGTCGTGCTTCGCTCAATTTTCTTTGACTGGTGTTGGTCAGCCTTCTTTACGAGAACACCTTCGATAGCATTCAAATCTACACCTTCTCGAGCAAAAAAGTCTTTGTTTTCTTTGACTAACATTGTTTCACCAATAGCAAGACGTACGGCCATGTTACTTTGTTCTTTATCCATGATCTCACCCCGTTTTACACCCATGCGCTCAGCGAGAGAGCCAACAGTCGCGTCTCCGCGAATATACGAGGCATTCCAGCCAGTCTTCTTTTGAGCCTGGATCTGACGCTCTAAGTCTTTGCGCTGTTTGTAAGTAAGATTTGGGTCAGCTAAAGCCGCCTCCGGATCAACCTTTACGGGCTTGGAACGCGCAAGAATCACGTGCAGACATCGACCTTGAAACGCCATTCCATTCACAGCTTCAAGAGCATTTTGAGCGTCCACTGCTGTTCGAAAAGTCACGAAGCCGTAGCCCTTGCGACGACGGCTTTCATCCAGTGGCATGTGCACCTCCTCCACGGGCCCATAGGACGAAAATAAAGCGTTTAAATCCTCCTCTACCGTCGTGAACGGCAAATTTCGCACAAACAAGCGCGAACAGGGTTTTTTATCTTCAGTATCAACTTGATTTGGCAGCTGACTCCTCTTTTCAGTTGTAGGCTCAACGGCTTTGATCTCTACATCACCTACAGCCTCATCCATTATGTCTTCATCACTTGAATCTTTATCAAGGCCTTTACTCACTTTTGAGAGCAAGAAGTCCATATCAGACATGTTCTCTGATGCTCTATTCTTCTCCTTATTCTTTGCGCCATCCTCACTTTCTCCATCCTCATCTGTATTTGCCATTCCTTCAACTTCTTGATACTCGTCATCACTGTCATCAGCACTCACAATATCTGCACTCTTAGATGCTGCATTGACGTCCACCGATAACTGTACATCGTCATTAGCCCAAAATTTAGTCTTTGATCGGGCCTGCATGGTTTCAACGAATTCTTGAAATTCTCCGCTCGTTTCCTCCTGCTTAACAGCCTTTCTTTTCAGCGTTTCAGGCGAACTCTTCATGTCGTTCAAAGATATCGGCACCGGGTGTAGTTTTTGATAGCGTCCACTTCCAGCCGAGTACTTACTCCATGGCCTTTCAATGTTATCAGAGTCCCTCTGGTTAACAAAATACATAACTTGTCAATATTGGACCATTGCAAAATCTACAACATCTTGATTCGAAATACACAATTTGTATGTACATACCTCTAATGCCATACGCACGTTGATTTTGCAAGTATCAAGAAAACTCTGGTGAAAGAAATTTAAAGCTTTTTCGGCTTGTGTCGCTGTTTTGAAGCCTACGAAGCCAAAGCGCCGTGATTTGCTTCCATCCTTCGTGCGAATCACACAGGCGTCCGTCACCTCGCCCTGCGATCCAAAATGCTCACGTAATCGTGTCGAGTCTACGTAAAGTGGAAGATTTTGAACATACAGACGCGTTCCTTTTGGCTGTACGGAGTTAGCCACAGTTGCCACCATCGTTCTGCTTCCAATCGTCTGCTTAGTGGTTATACACTAACCTCTGAAATTACATAAGAAATATGCAGAAAGTATACTTGGCGTAAATTACAGGGCGTAAAAAAGCTATAGCCAGACAGAAAAAGGCATAAATGAGTACACACACAGGTGCTCGTCCATTTGTACAGCTTCGGCCACCAATAGTGGTGACATACCGAGTTGTACGTTTTCTCCCGACCGAGATGACCACTGAGTGGCGTATCGTGAGCCTCATAGAGAATGCGATATTTCAAATCCTCATCATGAGGAACCACAATGCGTGGTGTATCCGTTGAATTGGTGCTATAATATAGAAAGCTGTTATTCAACGAATATCGGGGCAATCGTGCACGCAGTCGTTGTGACAATTTCTTGTCCGAGTCTCCAAACTCCTTGCTCCCAAGAGCCGGAAGCAGCGCTACACACATCCCATCACCCAAATACGCGGTGCGGATCAAATCCGTCACAGACGACGTTACAGTTGTAACATAAGCAAGCA